GGGGCTGCCTGAGCTCCAGGGCTCGCCTGGATTTGCTTCAGTTCCCTGCCCAGGTATCAGGGATGGAATTTGGGTCTTGTGTGCTGAGCCCAGTCCTGTCCCTGTGTCCTGTCCTCCCGTCCCTGTGTCCTGCTGGCCGTGCCAGGGTTGCCATGGACACCTTCCCCTCGCCCAGGTTGCTCCGAGCCCCATCCAACCTGGCCTGGGACACTCCCAGGGAATGGGGCAGCCACAGCTTCTCTGGGAATTCCATCCCAGCCCCTCCCCACCCTCCCAGCCAGGAATTCCTTCCCAATATCCCACCTAACCCTGGGAAGCCATTCCCTGTGTGCTGTCCCTCCATCCCTTGTCCCCAGTCCCTCTCCAGCTCTCCTGGAGCCCCTTCAGGCCCTGGAAGGGGCTCCAAGGTCTCCCTGGATCCTTCCCCTCTCCAGGTGAACATTCCCAGCTCTCTCAGCCTGGCTCCAGAGCAGAGGGGCTCCAGCCCTCAGAGCACCTTCCTCACGCTTCCTTTGGCCCTGGTGGCCACCATCACCCTCCTCCTCTTCCTCTGGGCCCTGGAATCCCCACAGCATCCCAGGCCACCGAGGTGTGGGGCCGAGATCCCACACCCACGCCGGCTCCAGGGATCCTGTGGATCCCTCCACGCTCTGGGGAGTTCTCTCAGCTGGGGGCTTCCTTATCCCAACCCCAAAGCTGGGAACAGCGGGAATGTGTGCCCTCCTCTCCGTGCCTTTGCCTGCTGTGGGTGAGCAGCACTTTAACCTGGATGGAGACGGGAATTGCCCTTTGCTGGGAAGTCTCCGCTCCCGGGAACTCCGCGCGGGGGGAGGGGGGGGGGGGGTGTGGCTTCCAACCGCAATTCTGCACCTTCCCCGTGTGCTCCCACAGTTAATCCATGTCTCAGCAGCTTCCGAAATCCAGCCCACTGTCATCCCGTTGCCGGGCCGGGCGCTCTCCGTGTGTGCTTTGGAAGCCCCGGCTCCCGGAGCATCTGCTTTCGTTTAGCTCCGCTAATGATCCCGCTTTTCTCCAGCACCTTCCATCCCGCTGCCATTCCCGGGCGCTCTCCCTGCTGTCCTTCCTGGGCAGAGGCAGTTCCGTCTGGATCCTCCGGAGCTCCTCGGGCTCACACCGGGATGGGGAGCAGGTCCCCGGGTCGGACCAGAGCTCCAGACCCGGCACTACCTCGGGAATTCTGAAATAGGGATTTGGGGCTGGAGCAGCCTCCCAGCCCCTGACTCTGCAGCTTCCCCTGCTTCCCGGAGAGCTTCCAGGATGTCCCCACTTTGGGCATCACTTCCCAGCCCTGGCAGGGCAGCAGAGCCTGGGGTAGGAGCCTTCTCCCAGGGAGGCCAATCCTGGAATTCCTCGCTGGGATACATCCCCTGCTTTAGGACCTGGACTGGCCTGTGGAGTGGGGAGGGCTCACTCCCGTTCCCTGCTCCAAGGCTCTCCTGATCCCTTTGGATCCTGCCTCTCCCCATCTTCAGATCCCCCCTCCCTGCTGACAGCCCTGCAGAGCGTGGGGTGTTTGGGATGACATTCCTGACTCCGGGCTCCTCGGAGTTCCCGGGGGTTTGTGCCGGACCCTCTGGGATCCCGCTCCTCTGGGAAGCACTCCCGGGGGCACAGAGACCCTTCCCCCCCAGGGCTGCTGGATCAGGACTGCGGTCACCTCGGGGGGGGGGTTCCGGAGGTGTCCCCGTGCCGGGATCCCAGGGATCCCCAGCGCCCCGGGAACGCCGGGATGGGGGCGGGAGAGCCGCGCTTGCCCCGTCCTCTTTTCCCCTCCACGTGGACCGGATATTTTCAAGGGAAGAATCTTTCCTACGGGGCTCTCCGGCTGCCAGGAATGTGCGTCTAGGAATGCCCAGGGCCCATCCAAGAACAACTTCCAGACGCGCGGCTGAGTGACGGCAGCGCCGGGCGAGGTGTGACCGCGGGGGCGGCGAGGGGGATGCGGGGAGGGGGCTGCGGGAACCGCTGGAGCGGGAGCCGCTGGAGCGGGAGCTGCCCGGGGAACGCGGCACGGCAGGGATTGATCCCGGCACGGCAGGGATTGATCCCGACA